TAGTTATAACCATAAAAACCATATAGTAAAACCTTTCCAGACTAACAAGATATTTATTATATTCTTCATAAATAACAAGTGGTGATAATTTCTGAAATGTCACTCTCTACGCAATATGTCTCCCTCCTTCTCATATCCCTCACAAAAATTCAGCGAACCCTATAAGTATACCTGCCTGATTACGAACCTGTTATCCTTTTTCTCTTTACCGCCTTTCGTACATTCGGTCCGTTTTTTTTATATAAATAAACGCGGAAACACGTGCAAATTAAATTTATCTTCTTTCCACTGAAAAACGAAAAAAAGAAAAAAATAAACCATTACTTACTTGTTTATAGGTATGTCCGTTGATTTTTCCGCATGCGGCATTGCGGAAATACCGCCAGACCATCGTATTTTATAAAATTTACTGCCAGAACGGATTTTTAACGCTCAACAAAACTCCCTAACTCGAGAAGTTTGATATTTCGAGTACGCATTTTAACTAGGTGTCTAATTTTCCGAGTAAAATAACATTTGGGCAATTTCGGGTCTTAATAACAGTATAGGAGGGATTTCATTTCACAATTGGCACTCAAATTTTGGTGGAAATCTAATGTTAATTTGATCGAATCGAGAAAAAGTCTTTTTTCTTCTTTTTTTGCTGGCCTTTAATGCATAATACTATAACACATAGTAACGAAAATGTTTGAAATATCCAATGAATTTAGCAATGTTATTTTTGAATAACTATTGACAGTGTCAGTACTATTTTAAGGGAGTGATGTTTGACCCTTACAGCTGTTTGCGGGTTCGTCAATAAAACTGCTAAAACCTCAGTAATCAATAGGTTTATTAAAAGTATTGAAACAAGTCGGATTCACCTCTAGCTCGTGCTTTCAGTGCCTCCTGTCGGCCATTTCCCGGATGAAGATGTTACTGATGACAGTTGAGTCTGACATTTGTCAATCATAGTACGTTAGACACTTGACTACATATAACAACAGCCACCCCGAGCTCAAATAAAAAACTGTGTATATCTATACGCGTTATTAAAATTATTTTTAACTGATTCACCTATAAATTATTTATTACCTTGTTGACTGTTCAACCCCGTAAGGCAAAATATGAAATTCAAATTACTAGATACCAACCACGCTTTTATTCAAACAAGAAATAAATGTTATTTGTTCGCGTAACTACATTTTTATGAGTGAAATGCGTTTCGGGTCAAAAATCAACTAGAGCATTCGATATCGATCGAAAACCCCTTTAGAAGCATCTGTTGTACACATTGGCGTGCATGCTAGATACAAAGGAAACGAAAATATATTTTTATTTAATGGTACGGAGGACGATTTAGTAGAGTAGAGACTATTTAAATATTTACAGAACAATTAATTAAGGAACGGTTTGAAATAAGTCAAAAGACCAAGTATCAATATTCCTGTGGTGTTTTCCTAAATTTTGGTGGTGGATAAATTTCCATTAGTTTTAACTTGAAATTTTTTGTTAAGAAGAAAGTTTTGAACGAAAGCTAATATATGTCCCTCAAAAACCCCAATATTCTAAGGTTGTTAATATTGTATGATGCCATATCATATCGAATGCTTTAAATATGTTAAAATATATGGCCATACACTTTTGATTATTACAAAAATCTTCATTTATATTACTCTCTAGATCAGTGGTCGCCAACCTGTCGATCGCGAGCTACCGGTAGCTCGCGGAGGCAATTCTGGTAGCTCTCACAACGATTTTAATTTAAAAAATACAAACTGCAAAAATCAGAGAAGCTTCCGAAAATTCCACAAAAAAATCTAATTGTCATAATATTAAACATAAACAGCGGCAACGTTGCGGTGAGCGATCTGCCGCTGACGCCATCAAGCTAGAATCGGCTAGAACCGACCAGCCGGACCAGCGCGTTAGTGTTCGAGAACAATCAGGATTGCTTTGAACGGTATAAATACGCACGGCGCGGCGACATTGCACTTAGTTTAAAACTGAACGCGTAACCAACGTCCAGCGGTTGGGTTAGTAGAATACAACAAAAAATAATATTATGGCAAGCAGTTGTAAGAAGGTAAAGACATACCACTTTCTTTCGGAATGGGAAGAACAATACTTTTTTACAGAAGTTAAAGATAAAAATGTGCGTTTGTTATGTAATACTTCGGTCTTCGTTGCTAAAAAAGGAAATATTGAGAGACATCATAAAACTGTACATTCTAATTTTGAAAAATCATTCCCACTACATTCTGCTGCCAGAAAGGAGAAACTGAAACAGTTGAAAAAGCAGTTAATTGGACAACAATCAATATTTTTAAAAACAGTCGACAAAAATAAGGCTGCAACTGAAGCATCGTACCGTGTGTCCCAGATAATTGCACAAAAAAAGAAACCTTATGAAGACGGGGAAATGGTAAAACAGGCGTTTTTAGAAGCTGCTGATTCGTTATTTGCCAACTTTAGAAATAAAGACGAGATAGTTTCAGCTATAAAATCTATGCAACTTGCTGCTAATACAGTGATAAGACGTGTAGAAGTAATGAGCAATGATATTTTTTTTACAGTTAAGAACTGACTTAGATAACTTCAACTAGATGAATCAACAGATGTCGTTGACACTGCCCAGATGGCTGTGTTCGTCAGGATGGTTTTTAGTGATTTTACGATTAAAAAAGATCTTTTGAAATTTATTCCACTGAAAGGACACACTACTGGACAGGAGTTGTTTCCTCATTTAAAAAATATTATTTCTTCCGAGAAAATTCCAATATCGAAAATGGTAGGCTTGACAACCGATGGCGCTCCAGCTATGGTGGGTTATGATAAGGGTCTGGTGGCGTTATGTCGTAAAGATGAAACTTTTCCGCAATTTCTCTGTTACCACTGCATTATCCATCAGCACGCATTATGTGGAAGTTTCCTGAAACTAAACAACGTTATGAAACTGGTGGTAAAAATTGTGAACAAGATTAGAGCTCAAGCGTTACAAAGAAGATTATTCAAAACCTTGGCCGATGAAGTTGACTGTCAATACGGGGACCTACTCCTTCACTCTAAAGTCCGATGGTTAAGTAGAGGACGGGTGCTGAAACGTTTTAATGATGTCCTATCTGGCATAGTTCAATTTTTCAAACAACGCGATGAACCGACTCCGGAACTAGAAAATTCAATCTGGCTTAGAGATTTTGGTTTTCTCGTGGACATTACAGAGAAATTAAACGTACTTAATTTGCAGCTTCAGGGGAGAGACAAAGAACTAGCGGAAACGATTTCTGATATCAAAGCATTTATCAAAAAGCTGGAGTTTTGGGAACAAAACCTAATTAACAGCGATGCCAAGCATTTTCCTATCCTTTCAAAAAAAATATCTCAAAATCCATTAGAACCCTATGACAGCAAATATCATGTAGAAATAGTTTCTACCCTGAAGAATAACTTCAAAAATCGTTTTAAGGATTTCAACGAAATGGCTTTAGTAGCGCAGTTTGTTGTTTCACCTTTTATGGAAATTGATATCCAACAGTTTGCAACTTGTGTTATGCAGAACTTTGGCGAAGACATCGCTGCAACAGAAATGGAAGTAATTGAGTTTCAAAATGATTTAGCCTTAAAATCGTTAGTCTCAAGTATCAATTGTTTCTGACATATTGTAAGTAAAGACAAATATTCAGTTCTATACCGTGTTGCCTTGAAAGTGAAAGCATTATTCAGTTCAACCTATTTGTGTGAATCTTCTTTTTCCAATATGAAGTTTATTAAGAACAAATATCGCAATCGACTTACAGATGAACATTTGGATAATTGTATTCGAATGGCTGTATCAAATTATACTGCAAACTTTAAAAAAAAATATCGATGAGTCTGAGTGTCAGCCTTCTCATTGAACGTGCTTTTTTATTTTTCAATGTTTATGTTCATGATAGTTGTTATTATTAACTATTTTTAAATCTTACGTGACATGCCGTTGTGGCTGGATAAAAGTTTGTGTTTATTTTTCACCTTCGTTTGGTAGGTAGGAATGTAGCTATGAACAAGTACGTTCTAGTAATAATAGTTTTTTTGTTATTAGTTTATTATTAGTACCTATGTATTATGTATTACCATTTAAATAGTAAAATAAATACATATAATGATAAATTAACTGTGGATTATTTCATTTATGTTGCGTTACGTGGCTTCCGTGTGGGTAGCTCGCTGTTTATTCCAAAATTAACAAAGTAGCTCAACACATTGAGAGGTTGGCGACCACTGCTCTAGATCAATGGAATTATCTGTTGTGAACCATAATGGTCTAAAACCAGTTTCCTTGATAAACCGATTTAGTTAACAAATATTAATCCACTGGAAACTTTTGAAATCGTATATTTGTATCCAATTATATTTAATGAAAACCTAATACCTAAAAACAAAAATTAAAACATCCGTCAACTTATCTGACACAAGATATTATTTGTTTACTATTTAAAAACGATGGAAGTAACATGATCTATGAAAAGTTCTTACCTACGCTCATGTTTTAATAACTTATTCATCGCGTACCTTAACATTTTCGGGACACTAACCCTAAGGACCTAATTAACTCTTCACCCAAAGCGCTTAAAAATGTTTTCTTTTCTCATTTTAGCAAACAGACACCTTCAGAAGTGTCAAGTAAAATGACTAATTGATACAAATTTGAATAGAATTGGAAAAAACGATGTCAAAAAAAAAACAACTTAGCGAATTTCCATTCAAAATATGTAGATAAATGGTTTCTTCTTATAATGATAAAAATCGTTTTAACAAAAGAAGAAAAATGTAATCCCATTAACGTAATTGCTCGACATTTCAATTTATTAGTCATACAAACAGGTTTCAAATAAAAGGTACAATCTAAAAATATTTTTGGATATACAAATTAAAATATCGAGCATTTATTGTGAGTCAAATCCCTATAATATACAAACAGATTAAATTTGTTATCAGTAATATTTTGTTATATTTTGACGTATGTTTTTGTTTTGTTACAGTGAAGACTGGCGTCAAAGCAACCGAAAAGTGATTTGATGAAGAGCAGACATCAATTCCGCAGGCGTTTTAGCTTGCAGCCTTCCTTTCTAAAAGAAGAGCCCGAAGAGGATCGACACCATTCAGCTAGGTTGGTTTTACACTTAGATAAAAGAGACCATGAGCAGTGTTTAGAGTATCTTTGAGGCCATCCTAGGTCATCTAGATGGATGTAGAATCGAAAGTTATGAAAAAAAATTACACCATATGGCCGCCCCTCAGCTATAGCGAACATGAGCCGGGTAAACTATGGGCCAAATCGTGATAAAAAAGTATACCAATGGAGAGAAAAAAAATAAGACTTTTAGAATGCATGTTTCTCCCCCCAACCACATTTTTAGAGGGGGGTTTAAAAAAAAACTTGTAATTCGAAAAAAAATTCTTACTATAGTATGTGTGGTGGCTTAGAGTAAACAAACAATTTCGGTACCCCCCCTCCCCCCACTCCCCCTGTCGTAAGAAAAACCTTGAATTTGGAATTTGAATATATGGCTGTATAGAGGGACCCGAAACTAAACTAAAAAAATTGGTGGCCCCTGTTCCCCCCCACTTATTTGAGGGAGTTTAAAAAAAAAAACAAAAATCGGGCTCCGTATGGCAAACCCTTGAGTTGTATAAAAAATTTACAGGTACCCCTCCCCCCTCGAACCCCCCAGTCTAGGAACTAAATTCACGGATTTTTTTGACATGGTTGCATCGGAAAAATGATCGAAATGAATTTCATTACATCCTCCCCTTTTTTTCAAAATTCGAAATTTTTATTTGTTTGAAGGGCAATGACCCAAATGCTATTGAATTGGTTAAATGTTCATCGGAAGAGGTCATGGTGATTGGCCAAAGGTTGCTACCCCCTCCATAAAGTGTGTGGAGGGGATGAAACATTTTTGTTGAAAATTTGACATTTCGAAATATACGTTGTACAGATAATTAAAAAATAAGAAAAAAAAAATGATATGGAGTAACTTTCCTCCACCCCTCCAATTTTTTATGGGGTCTGTTTTTTTATTTTCGATAAATTTTATGAAGTAGGTTAGCAGAGGTCAAATGTAGTAAGGTGCTTGGTACTACCTTCCCCCTTCCTTCTTTTTTGGAAGCCTCAAGAGTGAACATTTCACATTTATATTGTGCACATGATGTATGGGACCAAAGTTCAAGTCGAGTCAGACCCACCTCGTCCCCCCCTCATCCCTCAAAAAACGGTCAGGAGTGAACTCAAAATAAAATGTTTGATTGTGCGCATAGTTAATAGGACCACAAGGAAAGGTTTTTCAGATTCATTGCATCCCTCGTACATTTTTTAAGTCGCTAAGAGTGACTTAGGAATAAAATTAAAGAAATATTATTGTGTGGGTACTTTATGAGACCAAAGGTCGAACGTTTTGGTACCAACATTTTCTCCCCTCCACTTTTTTTGAAAACAAGAGTAACCTAAAAATTAATTACAGATAAAATCCTTTTGGTAAAGTATTTGGGACCACTTATTAAGAGTGTTGGCAGTGTTGACCACATTTGCCCCTTTTTCAAAAATCATCCAAGAATAAACTTGATATTTTTGAATGTAACAAAATTCACACAGTTTATAGGATATTGAATTCTGAAAATTGTAAGGTATATAAAGTTGCCCCCCGCCCCCCAATAATTAATAAATATTAATTTTATTAAAAATTTGGAAAAATATAAAAAATGTTTTAAGTAATTTTTATAGAGATTTTTAAGATAAATAAAAAAAATGTATATATTATTTATCCCCCTTACCCCTCTTTTGTATAATGCTCTATATTTTATTTAAAAAAAATTAAAAAATAAAATGTAGTTAATAAAGGTAGATTATAACACTTTCGATCCCCCAGGTTTTATTACCCTACTTGCCCCCTTTTTTATTTAAAAATTTTTTTTTGGTATTTTGAAACAAAAAAGGTTGCATGTTATTAAGTTAATTATTTTAAGAAAAAAATTATATATAGCGATTCCCTCCCCCCCCCCCCCAAATTGAAGAAAATAATTAGGATTTTTATATAAAAATTGGAAATTTTTAAAGTTAATAATTTTATTATAAAAAAAAATATTTTTGGTAAAAATCAGTTAGGGGTCGCTTTATAATTTTCGTTTTACAATTAATAGCGACCCCAACGGGATCGCTTTACAACAAATAATTACATTTTCGTCTTGTCAGCCTTCCTCTAATAAATTTCTAGGACGTCCCGCTGGCGGGACACGCTTTCACTGGTCTCTTTTATCTAAGAGTTTACAGATTTCTTATGCCATTCTATAGCGCAGAAAAAAATATGAAGTGAAAATTACAAGATTTTGTTCATAATTTAATCATGTACTTATAATTTACTGGATTGCTCCGGGAAATTTTCATGTCAAAATTTTACGGACTAAAAAAGATAATGAATAGGGTTAAAGTTGGATCATGCTATTATAGCCAATCAAATCAAACTTTAAGAAAAAAAATATTAACTGGACTTTGATAAGTGTAAATGGTAGAGAATATATAAAAAAAATGCAACCTTGGAGGGGGTTCAAATAAAGTTGTAGGGGGGTTGAAAAGGGGTGAAAAATGGTATTATCGTGATTTCCGTCAAAAACAAAAATTTATAACTGGACCGTAATGAAAAAATTTGAGGAAAAGTGTAAAGTTTTATTATTTTTAGTATTTTCCTCGATTTTCGTTAGAAATGAATATAAAATATATAAAAAAATGTTTCGAGTAAGATGTATGTGGAAAACGTATACATTTAGTGCATCCTCTAAACATTTACAATAGGTTGTAAAAGTACCGAGTTTCGTACAAAATTGTTTTAGGTCGGACAATTGTTTGAACTTTGACAAAATTTTGGAAGGTTGTAGTGACTCGGAAGATATTTCAACTGAAATCAAGCAGCCAAATCTTTTCTTCAACCCGTAAAACCAATTACCAGAGGACTTTAATAATTGCGAGGAAATGATTGAAAAAGATGAGCAAGAAAACCATTTTAATCAAGGGTCGGTTGGTGAAGATCAAATGACTTTGGAAAAAAAAGCAAGCAAGATTGACCTAGTAAATTATTATTTTTTTTTGTCATATATTTTGATATCAAAAAATCTCAATCAAAATTTAAAGAGTTTCTACAAAAAAAAATACTTGTTTGAATCGTAATCATTCGAGTTAAATGTTTGTAGCAATAATATATACAAAAATAAGAATACTGATCAAAAAATAAAAAACAGTTTCTTTTATAATTTTTTCCATACAATTGAATGGTGCAATCAGTGTTTTAATTTTTTACACTTATCAAAGTCCAGTTAACAGTTTATTTTTGTTCTTCTCTAAATTAGTTAATTCGACTAGTCTATTATAAATAATGTCTAGTATGTAAAGTATTCTACTTCTAAATAAACGTTATTTATTACTATTACTAAAGTTTTACATATGGATAAATTTAACGATTCTTTGTGGATTATAGGCTATAAAAATTATTTCCCGTTTTACTTACTTACTTCGATCTAATAAATTTCTCCTGCAAATCGGTTTCCATTAAAAACAAAATTAAGTCGAATTTATAGTCACGAATTCTAGTAAACTATTTTAATCTAGGTAAAAGTTTTTCCTTTGTTCAAGCAGAAACTGAAAGATTCTTTTAAAACAATTTAAAATGAGAAAAAGGGCGCAAATAATCTATAGGTGTTTAATTAAAACGCAATTTAGTCAATAGGAGGAATGGAACAATCGGTGAGATTTGAATTAATAGTTTTTTGATCTAAACAATTCTATGAAAATTTCATGATACAAAAATACTACATACTATTGAGCTAATTCCCATTACTTTTATGACGACAAAGGTTTAAACCTAATAGTCCGAGAGCCAGTGAACACTTTTGGTACTTGTGTATTTTTGCAATAAGTCTGTAATGATATTTAAGTCAGTTAGGTACATTAATGATTTATTTATTTATTGTCTTAAGTTCACTCACTACAGAATTATTAATTCCAAATGGCACAGTCTTAAAGCTAAAACAATTAAATTATACGTATACTCGTATATACATAAAAAAAACTGGATATACAAATATCAAACAATTCAAAAATTTTAAAATACATTTAGCATCTAAAAAGTCTAACATACAAGACAATCGCAAGACAATTAGAAAAAAAAATAAATAACCTAACATTTTAAAATTCGAGCATCCTCTTGACAGATAACAACGTACAATAATTAAAAATACCACATTGGGAATAGTCTTTATTGTAGTTGCACAAAAGCCTATTTATGAAAGCTCTTTGTCCATAGTTTATACGATGGGTTTTCTCAAAGAATAACTCCATTAATTATTTTGTAAAGAAAAAGTAACATTGCATCTCTGCATCTCCGTTCAAGAGTTTGTATACCACAGAGTAATAGTCTTTATTTGGATAATTTTTGAAAAGAATTAAAACCAGACGTTTAAGCGTCATTCTGTAACAAATCTATAAACATTTGCTGCTTTTTCGAAATGACAGAAATATAACAGAATGGCAAAAGTGATAAAAAAGTACCATCAAGAAGTTTTCCAACGACTATATGATGCCTTTTTATCAATTTTTTTTTAATAGTTTCCATGTTCCCAAAAATGTTCACTGGCTCCTTTACTATAATATTAGAGCACTACTGCACTATCGTAAAGGTTAATATCCCATAATATATGATATGCATACATCGATAGCTATATGCTATTGTGTTTTCCATAAATGTAAACCACATAAAACGATTGTCACGTCATATATGATTCCTTTTTTCCCCATAAATAGCGTAAAACTATTAAGTCGACCCCTGAAATCGACATGTTGGCTAATAAAACCATGTATGCGAATGTCGGTCCAGCTTTACACTTGTGCAAACATGTTACAGGGAGCAATTTGGAGAAATAATTGCCCTGCCGAATGACTAGCCGTGTCCGAAAATAATCGCAAGGTCTCCAAAATGTTTGTGGACCTACAAAAACAAAGTTTAATTGGTTGCTCGTAGTAGAGGAACTAAATGACTTCTTGAAGGTACTGATTTTCCAAGTAAATCGACGGGTTAGTTATACGGGATCGAGTAAAAGATACGGAAAAATACAGTTTATATGTATAAATAATGGTAGAAAGGAATTATTTTAGAATATTAAATTTTCAAGTTTATAGGTGTTGCTTAAGATAAACATCTCGAGATAGACCGTTGGTTTGAATCCTATTGACTGCGCCAATTTTATAATATCTCGTTATATACCGATTTTCTTAATTGTTACAACTGCATATTTATGACAAAACGGTCAAAAAACATCGTTCTCAATAAAAGTCTGTAATAGTATATTATGCAACGATCATGTAATGATGGTTATTAATACACGAGCATTAACCGGGATACGAAACGAGCCAAAGGCGAGTTTCGTATGGTTTATGCGAGTGTTTTAATAACCATTACATGAGAGTTGCATACGCTATTTTTTCTACACCCGATAAATAATCAAGACCTATAAATATTCTATTTATATTGGTATTGAACACAATAACAGTAATTACTCGTATTTCTATAAAAAATTCTACAAAATTGTAATTAATGGTATTACCTTGGGTACTGGTATTACCACAGATTTTTGGGGCAAAATATTTTGTACTGCATTTTCTCCTTTCTCCTATATGTGTGGAGGAGTGTTCTATATCGCTGATATCAGACATTTTAATATTATAATTATCGAAGTTTAGCTATCTACGAAAATTTAATACGTTTTGACAACTAAAACAATTACATAGGAATTTAGGACAAACGTCAAACATCATGCTTGATTGAAAAATTGTAGGTTTCTATTGATTAAAAATCTGTATCATAATGAAAAATCTGTATCATAATGAAAAATCTGTATCATAATGGGTATCATTATGAAACGGATTATGGGCATATAAGTGCATTATTATAATACGGGTGTAGAAAAATATTATTAACGTACAGAGCTTTCAGGTCGCAGAAGAGCGAAGATGCCGAATCGGTGGAGAAAAACGACCATGTTGGTACCGGCATGGGAAGCGTTTCACCAGTGGGCAACAACGTCCGACATAAGGTAGTAGTGATGGGCGCCGCTAGAGTGGGCAAGTCTTCCATTATATCGCAATTTCTTTACGGAACGTTCTCCTCCAAATACAAGAGAACCGTAGAAGAGATGCATCATGGGGATTTCAATGTAGCCGGGGTAAGTAGACATTGAAATTGTTAAACATATTAATTTATGATTAAAAGGAATTCAAAGATGTAAACGGATGGGTGTACGCAGTTAAAATAAGCAAAGGAATTTGGTATTTCGTGTATTTTTTATTAAAATAGCAAATATCTTTCGACATTACTTATTGCAAGACATCCAATAATAAAGGCCCGACTAGGGTCGCCGAAAATCCCCATTTGCATTAATACAATCAATTAAAGTTTGATATAGAACGTTGTATCGCAGTTTGGGTTGACTTTTTTGCTTGAAACTTGTGCTGAATGGTTTAATAAATCCGATTTTATATTTTCAATCGCATTTCTTTTAAAATATATGCTAATGTGTTTTATATTAAATGTATTTTGCATTCCACTGTTAATAAAAGTATATAAACATAAGGGATGTATCATCCCTAATAAAAATGTCTAAACTGCTTTTTCAATGGTTTTTTTCACGATCAAGTATTCTCAATTACAATGTTGCTGTGGTATTGCCACTGTCTATTAGCGTACTAACTAGACATGGGTAACGCAGCGCTGCGTTGCGTTATTGCGTTAACGCAGTTGTATGCGTTACGAGCGTTGATACACCAGCTGTTACTGTATCAGCGCAACGCAATTTTCGATACTGAGTCGAAAGGATCGCGAGTTGTTGATGCGTCATGCGCCAGGCACTGATTCCGTTTTCCGTGACGAGTTGAGAATTTTAATTTACGTAATTGATGCAACTCGTAATGCAGATTACCCAAAATCTATCAAGTAATTAAGTTCTTTGCAACATGTCACATCATTTGTAGGATTGTAGGTCGAATTTTATGGATTTTAACCTTGTACACTGTCAGTTTTTAGTTCTTCCCATTTTGATTGGCTACTAGTATACAAAATTATATCCTTTTTATATAAATTGGAAAAGTTGTATTCTTTGTAAAATCCGAACACAATGAAATAAAAAAATGAGTGCATTACACTGTTATATTTTCGTTTATTTTTAAACATATAATAAAAAAAAAAATTAGTTAAATTCCCAATTGCGTTATTGCCTTGAACACGATTTGACCCTTATAAAAGGACAGCCCGCGCTGAATAACACCGGTATCATGCAATACATCGAAGTGCATCGACTTCATTCAGCACAGGCAGTGGTGTGACGCAATAACGCAATTGCGTTAACGCAATGAGTTGGCGCAATAGAGTGCGCCGGAGTTAGTGTATCAACGCAAAGAATTTTAGTGCGTTACCCATGTCTAGTACTAACTACTGCGCTGGTCTGCCTTCTCCCGCTCGTCCATCCTGACACGCATGTGTATGGACTTCAAGAATGTATGGTGGGGAGTATAGAGAAATACCGCTAACAAGTATTTTAATTCAAAAACCGCATTAACTTTTATGTATTCGTTCGTTTCAGGTCCATCTGACTCTGGACATCTTAGACACGTCCGGCGCATACGAGTTTCCGGCCATGCGCGCCTTATCGATATCATCGGCGGACGCCTTCATCTTAGTCTATGACGTCACCGATTCGTCCACGTTCGAAGAAGCGCGAGCGCTGCGCGATCAAATCCACGAGACCAAATGTTCGGCGAACGTGCCCATCGTCGTTGTCGGGAACAAAACCGATTTGACAGGAGATCGAGAGGTAAGTAATAACAAATATTGAAGAAAAATACGCTTAAACATTCTCCCCTCGTTTCCCCCCCTTAAAATGTGATGTTTATAAAATCCGTTCTCAGTGGATGTCTACGTCGAGAATGCCAACTTTATAGTAAACAGATATTTTAATTATATAAGAAATCAAACGTGCCAGTTAATTAATCTAAATAATTTTATTTAAGTAGGTACAATTTCCTATGACATCCGACGTGTTAAACTTTTATTTAAATATTTTCCACCGTATCGGTGTTTCATGAAACGTTATTAATATTTAAAACTCTCTTCTCTCGAACTCGTTTAGAACAACCGAAGTTTGTTAAGTTCGCCATAATTAGTTTATTAATATTCTCGACGAAGCTCATAGCAGGTTGTTTTACTGAAAGTATTTGATGAAAGTTTGCGGCGAAACTTTCAAACTGCAGCTTTTCAAATTTACCGTTTTTTTTTACTAAAGTAGGTATAACTAAATTTCTCCAAAATACATATTATGTAAATTATCGAAAATCTTTTATTTTATCTAAAAAATTTCTATATACTGTTAGATTATATTTAAAATATTTAAATTTGGCGCTCTTATAATTATTCGGTCGCTCACGCATGTGCACCTAATAAGCGAGATGAGATCCAGAAGGAACGACAAACTACGTCACCGCGGCAGTCACTGCCTGACATTGATCGACAATCGATCTAACAAAAAAATCTAACAATACTATTGTAATCCATTTCGATTTTTCTAATTGTAAGATATACTATGTCATCTGCAAATACGGATAAACTGTTTGCAAATCCTATTAATGGTAGACAAATACCAATAAAAACCAGATAGGTAGATAGCTTGTAAATAATACCTGCTTTAATTTTGAAACAGAACAAACAAAATTGCCTGGAATATGGTTTCTAGAATGTTTACGACCATTTTCAAACATTCTCTCTCACATTTAATGTTAGTTCGTTATAGTTCTGGGCAGAAGACGAGCTTTTTCAAATTTAGTGAAATGGCCATTTGGAAGTAATGGCTTTTTTATGGCCGAAACGATACAAAAATCTACATGTTTCAGCTATTTACGCTATCTACTACCCCCGGTTCTACAGTTTTTGTAGTACAGGAAGATTTAAGTTTCTTTGATAGAACTGATAATACAATTTGTCTAAATCATGATGTTACTCGTATCCTTTTATAGGGATCTTAGATTCAAAGTCACAAACCGCTTCTTCCTAGCTTTTTCGAAATGCCTGCGCAAAATATTCGGCATAAATACTGTGGTGGCCGAAATGTACAAATATGATAATAACTACACCAAATAAAGTATTTATTAGTGTGTCAAAAGAAGGGAAAATACAGAAACAGCGGTGTAATGCAGTGAGAAAGTTCTTTCGAGTTCATGTAATCGGCTTTGTTGTGAAGATCATATTGAGGTGAGTTAATTTTAAATTAAAGTACCTATCACTACAACCATCAAGTCATTGTCTTTCTTTTGAGCTTACTTAGGCTTTCAAGGGTGATTCCGTCTTCGTCGTCCTCTGGCTTGATAGTGATCGCCTGAAGACTAACTTCTTCAACCAGCTCCTATTGTTCTTCAAGCCTTTTACAGTACCGGCATTGTCGTTCTAAACAGAGTCGCCTGGAAAGAATGTCTGCTTTGCTATGGAAACGTCCCCTTCGATGCACTATCTCGAAGTTATATTGTTGCACTTTCTATCCATCTAGCAACTTGCGATTCGGGTTTTTTAAAATTCATTAGCCACTGCAAGACGCTATGGCCACTTCCAATATTAAAGCTATTCCTAAGGTCTTACTAAAATACGCAATTACTTTCTCTTGTCCCTCCTATTCTTGGGATAACACGGCGTTTACGCCGTGTTGGGATGCGTTGCAGTCTAAAATAAATTGTACTTTTTCCCGAGGGTATGCTAGGATGGGTGCCGTGGTCAATCGTTTTTTTTTTTAACTCGGTGAAGGCATTTTGACAATCCGGCGTCCAGTCAAATAGACTACTGTAAAGAGGTTTAGCAATTTGACCAAAGTCTTTGAAGAATTTTCGGTAATAAGAGCACAGTTCAAGAAAACTTCTAATTTCCCGTTTGTCTCTTGGTTTCAGCTAATCTCTGACAGCTGCAATTTTCTCCGGGTCAGTTTTGATTTCTTCTGCGAAAACGATGTGTCCTAAATAAAATGGCTTTCGATTGGAACAGTGAAAAATTAAACCTTAGATTGGCATTTCTTAATCTGTCAAATACTTCATTTAACTTTAGTACATGTTCATCAAAAGTTTTTTTAGCTCCTAAAAGAAAAGTGACAGAGGCAAGTTTTGTTTTATAATTAAAAAGTTCGGAAAATATGTGTTATTATAGCAGGAGCAGAAGGCTTTTCGTAGTTCTCTTACTTCATACACAATAAATTGACAGTTCTGCGGCGGTGCTAATCGAAGTGGACGCGGTTCTCGTGGTTGGTTTACACGAGTACAGCGCAACAAGGTGCTTTATGCAAATATTGTGTATTATTAGCCAGAGATTGCGCAGGTAAAGGCTCTCATCAGCAGTTGAAATCCTTAGTTACCTCAGCCGCTTACTAAATGGAAAGATGCTGTACATGATTTCAAACATGAAAGCCAGTACCACAAACCTTCTGTATTATTGTCCGATAATTTTATGAAGGTGTATAATAAATCTCAAGCAAATATAATAAGTCAGATTGATAGCGGATACCTAGCGCAAATAGCTGAAAATCGGAAACGGCTCATTCCGATTATTGAAACAATTAAATTATGTGGACGTCAAGAATTAGCACTGAAAGGTACGTGCGACTCAGGTTCAATAAAAATTAATGACGCTGAGCCAGAAACAAATGATGGAAACTTTCGTGCTATCTTACGGATGAGAAGCAGATGTGGAGACTCACTACTGTAAACGAGGAAATGAAAATTCCGCGAATAACGTCACGCTAAGAGCATAGGGCAAACTATAACACAAAAGATCCTGAAACTTATTTTAGAATTACTATAATGATTCCACTTTTGGATGATATCATTGATCAGCTTCAGTCGAGATTCCAAAATCATAAAGCCACATTATCATCTTTCACCATTTTAATTCCGTCTGTGTGTTGTAAAGAAAAAATTTATCAAATTTATCAAGAGATCTACTTTGATCTCTATAAAAAATATTTGGAATGGGACTTTGTAAAAGCTAAATTAGACATATGGCGGATAAAATGGGTGGAAGAATCTGAACTAGATCGACCAACATGTGCTATTGAAGCTATCGGAGAATGCAACCAGGTCTTATTTCCAAACATTCACAAACTTTTAAAGATCTTGGCGACACTGTCTTTTTCTATATGTACTCCTGAGAGGACTTTCTTTTCTCTGAAACGCCTCAAAACTTTTTTAAGAAACTCCACAGGCCAGGAAAGACTAAATGGTTTGGCGTTAAGTCAATTCACCGCAGAATTGACATCGACACCGAGGAGGTAATTGATTTGTTCGCTGCAAAGAAAGCTAGAAGACTAAATTTAATTTTGTAATAAGGTGTCAATATTTCTGTAATGGTTTTCTAATAAATATACAGGGTGTCTGTAGAAGGTCTTTACAAAAACATACTACATATTCCTTAGACCAAAATAAGTCGATTTAAGTAAAATTACCTTAGTACAAAGTTGCTTCGTTTGGGCTCCAGAGGGCCTTGAAGTTACAATTTTTAAATCGTGTTTCCCATATAAATTTAAAACGGCATATGCGGTTTTGCTGAAATTTGGTATATTGGTAAGAGTTTTATGCGGCAAAAAAATGCTATTAAAATTTTGTCCGATAATAATACATAGGCGTAGAACTTGATTTTTTAAATAATTGCACCTTTAAAAATTCTACGCCAATGGAAAAAAAGGAGTTTGAGTATGAAATTTAGATTGCGCAACTCATTTACTTTAAAAAAGGTACTCTTGATAAGACTCGATTACTCTTATGGTTTTCGCTAAATTTCTGTTTTAATAATTTAGAGTGTATAGGTTTCACAAAAATATTTATTTACAACATAATCAAAATAGAGATTTTACAAAAATTGTTCAAAATGTTCACCATTTTCACGCATACAAAGATTTATACGTCGAAGAAAATTCAAATGTATCCTTTCCATAACTTCTTCATCACCTCTAAGATTGTTTATTGCATCTTGAATACGTTGCCAGAGTTGTTCCTCATTTTCTACAGGTTCCCTGTAAACTGTGGATTTCAGATGTTCCCATAAAAAGTAATTCATCGGTGTTAGGTCTGGGGAACGTGGTGGCCAGTTTACAGGTGCGTCATTACCTCTGCCTATCCATTTGTGTGGATATTGTTCATTCAAGTGGTTTCTAACGTTTAAAGAAAAATGTGGTGGAGCTCCCGTCTTGCATAAACCTCACATCTCTCCGAAGTTGGAGAGGTAAATCTTCTAACAATTCTGGCAACGTATTTTGTAGAAAATCCAAATAATTTTCTCCAGTTAATCTTCGTGGAAGTATGACAGGACCAAAAATGAAATTACCAATTATTCCAGGCCACACATTAATTTTGAATTCGTGCTGAAAATGGTTTACCTTTATTGCATGCGGATTTTCAACGGCATAAACATGTTAATTATGGGTATTAGTTATACCTCTTCTTGTAAAACCCGCTTCATCGGTAAAGAGAACCTTCTTGACAAAGTTTGGATCTCTTTCTCTTTGCATATTAACAAATCGACAAAAACCCAAACGAATTTGAGGATCATGGACTAATAATTCTTGTACTGGCTTCTTATAGTATGGATATAGCAATTGTTCTCTAAGCACTTTATGAACGACATCTTTACTTACTCCTAGTTCCCTTCCAATTCGCCTGGTGCTTAATTCTGGATCTTCTTCAACACGTTCTAAAATGTCTTCTTCATCTTCAGGAAACCTTACAAAACGTTCTCTTCCATTATCAACAGTGTTGGGAGCAAAGGAACCGGTCTCCCGAAGACGTCTCT